GTCCCTAGTGACCCATGCCTTACTGTTTGCCTCCACAGCACACACAAATTTTCCTTGAGGACATTCTTTTGCCTGAACGGTCTGGGAGTTTCCGAGTGATACACTAATAAAGGCTTCACTTTGCAATCACCAGTAGCATTGGAACACATCAACAGAGTAAGCCTGTCTTTCATAGGCTTATGTCCTGGGAGTGCCTTTTCCTCCTGAGTAATGTAGGTCCTGCTTGGCATTTTCTTCCAAAACAGGCCTGTTTCATCACAATTAAGCACTTGTTCAGGTTTCAGTCCTTCAGTTTCTATGTACTCCTTGAATTCCTGCACATATTTTTCAGCTGCTTTGTGGTCCGAAACTGGCAGCCTCACCATGCCTTATCACACTATGTATGCCACTACGCCTCTTAAATCTCTCAAACCAACCTTTGCTGGCCTTAAATTCACTCACATCATCACTAGTTGCAGGCATTTTTTTAATTAAATCCTCATGCAACTTCCTAGCCTTTTCACTTATGATCACTTGAGAGATGCTATCTCCTGCTATCTGTTTCTCATTTATCCACACCAATAACAGTCTCTCAACATCTTCCATCACTTGCGATATCTGTTTCGAAAACACAGTTAAACCTTTGGCAAGAACAGCTTCCTTGATTGCCTTTTTGTTGCCCACAATAGTAGCGATGGTTGATTGGGGTTTACTATACAACCTGGCCAGCTCGGAGACATGCACTCCACTTTCATACTTATCAATGATCTCTTTCTTCATCTCTATAGTAATTCTCACCCTTATTCCTGTAGGGTTGGCACTAGAAGCTTTCTTGGGGCCCATGGTCACTTATTTTGCAGATAAAATCACCAGAAACACTGTAATAATACGAAATGTTCCGATTGTATGCTTGGATGTTACCGCGGAGGCTGGCTGGTAAACAATGCCACGGCGGAACATGTGAGGCTGGCTAAGGGCACACATTAGACGCGTCTCAGATGAACAGCGTTGAGCGGGTTTTTTAGCGGTATGCGAGGCAAAATCTTGGCGATAAAATGTAGCGGTATGCGGATTTAACGTTATGTGATGCCAACGGTATGCGGGGGTCCACTGTACGTCCTACGAGCCAATGTGTTTGACGTATATATACTCAAAAATTGTAGCGGCTTCAAATCAAGGGGGAGAAAGCTGGTAGACCCACATGTCTGCATTGTTCATTCTGGAACCTGTTTTGAAATTGGCACATTTTTTAATTTGTGTGAAATTGGCCAAATTGCCAATTTCTGACCATTGTATTGGGTAGTTGAAATTGGTAAAGGAGCGGTTTCTTGTACTCAGTCGATAGAACAAATGGAGTTCTAAAGAAATAGCTATGAGTTTGGTCGACTGGAACAATGGAATTGGCCGAAAATAGGGCTCAAATTGGGCGAAATTGCTGATTCATAAATATCGCTGAGATTGCTAACTTTGCAAGAGCGTAATTCCATAAGTTTTCCGTCAAATGTCATACTTTTGGTGTCATTAGCATTGGGAAAAGATTCTCTATCATTTCATAAGATTTTTTATTTTTTTTTTTTTTTTTTCAAATATTTTGTGACACTGAGAGACACTCTAGGATTGGGGGTTGCGACAGTCAAAGGGTTAAGAACATGTGTGCAAAGTGGAATGAGTTCCACACTTTTGTAAAAAAATATCACCCTGAACAAGCTGATACAAGCTGCATCTGCAATATGTTCAGTGATAATAATTTGTCCCATTTTAGGCAAATCTGGAGAGACACCAGAAACAGAGCTCTCTGGACAGATTTTTAGTGCGACAGGGGTCCAGTGCCAGTAAAAGACAAAGAAGGGAAGTAACTCCGGATAGGGCTTTGATACCTGAAGTCTTTATGGAGGGACATTCCCCTTCCCAACAATAAGCTCTCCTCTTTCTCCCCTCCTCGCCTTCTTCCATACACCTACAAGTCTTCAATAAAGGTATGTAATAGTGAGTTAAATGTTCATTTATCCATTTCATTAGTGCTTTATATTTATTTCTCATTTTTTTCTGTATATAAAACTATAGTTATTCTTTAAAAAATGTATTTTTTGTTAACATTTTTGGGTGTCTGGAACGGATTAATAATATTTACATTATTTCTTATGTGATATATTACTTCAGTTTTTGTACATTTTGGATTTAGACCGACCTTCTGGAATGGATTAAGTATGAAATCCAGAGTTCCACTGTAGTATGTTGTTGATGTCAGCCAGGTCTGTAAATGTTGTGCATGTACTTGTAGAAATTAAGATTATTATATTGTTAGATAAGCATGATCTTCCCATTTATTTCTCTCTTGAACACTTTTTTGGGACTGTCATAATAGCTTACTGGTAATAGATCCCACAAACAGAAATTTGCAAATCAAAAACTGATTTGTTTGTTACCATAGTTAAGTTTTTGCTTGTAATAAGGAACAAAAAGCATAATGCCATGACTGGAACAATACACATATAACCCGCATGTAGGAAAGAGGAACTTATGATGATGTCTTAGTCTGACTTGGACCATTCACAGAGTCACAGTGTGACTTTGTAAATGGTCCAAGTCGGACTGAAATGTTGTCCCAACCTCCTCTCTTTTATGTGTGGGTTATTTGTCTTTTGCTCCTAATGTTTTATCCACTGGTATTTTTAATACAGGTGCACATCCCTTTATCTGAAACCCTTGGGGCCTGTATTGTTTGGAATTTCAGACTTTTTTGAATTTCAGAATGTTTCTCAACGCCACCATGTGGCAGCACGACCCACCACAGAGATGACTGACGGCTCCTCGCTCCACGGAAAAGCTTCGGTTTTTGGAACTTTTCGAATTTCAGAATTTTGGATAAAGGAATGTGGACCTGTATTTCTGTAACATTTGTCAGCAAAATGGATCTAAAATTTTAAGGGATACCTGTTACTATGTGTTTTTTTTTTTTTAGCATAATGTGTCTTTTTCTATTTGTTTGCAAATTTACCTTCTTGTAGTGAAATAGTGATTTTTTTCATATTGTATAGCTTATTTAGTTCTTGTGTACATTTAAGAGAGGATGGAACAAAATAGAATGACTTAGAGGGCATATAAATCTGTAGCGAAGGGAATGCGAGGTAGGGGTTGTCCTAGGAAAGGTTAGAGGTGGGGATAAAGTAGGTTTTGTGTGTGAGGGGCTTAGACATCCAGGAAGCATATGTGAGCATGTTAGGGGTGAGTGGAGGCAAAGGGTTTTTATAACTTGACATGCTGTTGGCGCATGAGCATGGTAACATTTATGAAGGAATTCAGGGAAACTGGTTAGCTGGACTTGAGTTGTGGATGTGGGAAGTACAATACCTGCACTCTGAAGGAGGGGTAGGGATATTTGCAGTTTTGAAAAACTGTATTATCAGCACCCCTGTGGCAAGACAGTGATGGAGTTAGTGATGTTGAAAGTGTTTTTCATTTTTTGGGTCACCCTACCATGGTAGGAGATAGCTAGCTTGTTGGAAAAAAAAATATCTTTTTATGCAGCAATAGTGTTTTCACTTTTCGCTCATCTTCAAGTACTGTGGATTGTGTAATTTTAGGGTACAGAGGTAGGGGCTGGGTTCCTTGGAAATACAGTATAAAATAAAATGGAGCATGTTTCCCAGGAAAGACTAAAAGGTGGTACACTCTGACTCCCTTCAGAGTAGAACATTTAAACAGCACTATACTGTTGCAAGAGGCATGGAGTTAAAAGATAAAGAATCACACATAAAGTGGGAGTTGTCACAGTTGCTCTTTGCTGATGACACTGTGCTCTTGGGAGATTCTGAAGAGAAGTTGCAGAGATTGGTGGATGAATTTGGTAGGGTGTGCAAAAGAAGAAAATTGAAAGTGAATACAGGAAAGAGTAAGGTTATGAGGATAACAAAAAGATTAGCTGATGAAAGATTGGATATCAGATTGGAGGGAGAGAGTATGGAGGAGGTGAATGTATTCAGATATTTGGGAGTGGACGTGTCAGCGGATGGGTCTGTGAAAGATGAGGTGAATCATAGAATTGATGAGGGGAAAAGGGTGAGTGGTGCGCTTAGGAGTCTGTGGAGACAAAGAACTTTGTCCTTGGAGGCAAAGAGGGGAATGTATGAGAGTATAGTTTTACCAACGCTCTTATATGGGTGTGAAGCATGGGTGATGAATGTTGCAGCGAGGAGAAGGCTGGAGGCAGTGGAGATGTCATGTCTGAGAGCAATGTATGGTGTGAATATAATGCACAGAATTCGTAGTTTGGAAGTTAGGAGGAGGTGCGGGATTACCAAAACTGTTGTCCAGAGGGCTGAGGAAGGGTTGTTGAGGTGGCTCGGACATGTGGAGAGAATGGAGTGAAACAGAATAACTTCAAGAGTGTATCAGTCTGTAGTGGAAGGAAGGCGGGGTAGGGGTCGGCCCAGGAAAGGTTGGAGGGAGGGGGTAAAGGAGGTTTTGTGTGCGAGGGGCTTGGACTTCCAGCAGGCATGCGTGAGCGTGTTTGATAGGAGTGAATGGAGACAAATGGTTTTTAATACTTGACGTGCTGTTGGAGTGTGAGCAAAGTAACATTTATGAAGGGGTTCAGGGAAACCGGCAGGCCGGACTTGAGTCCTGGAGATGGGAAGTACAGTGCCTGCACTCTGAAGGAGGGGTGTTAATGTTGCAGTTTAAAAACTGTAGTGTAAAGCACCCTTCTGGCAAGACAGTGATGGAGTGAATGATGGTGAAAGTTTTTCTTTTTCGGGCCACCCTGCCTTGGTGGGAATCGGCCAGTGTGATAATAAAAAATAATAAAATATACTGTTGCCTAAAAAAAAAATTATACAATAAAATCATCACTATAGGTGTATTGTATTATAAAAGACCAGATTGTCATAATTAATTTTGTGTTAATTTGGGGTCTTGAATAAAGCTTTAAGGGATTTTTTTTCATATGCCTTTATTTATACAAAATATTTTGAGAAATTTCTTGAAAAATGTTGACTGATATAACTAATGATGCTTTTCAGTACACAAAAAATGCAGAGTTTCTTTGGAGGTTAGCAAAATCAACAAAAAATATGGCTGCCATCGAAGAAAAACTTGGGAATGAAAAGGTCAAGGAAAGCTTGATATTTGATGGTAATGTTACGAAAGTTTTGAGTCTTAGAAAGTCTGAAGCTCATTTAACTTGAACTGACACTTTCATTATTCTGCTTATATATACAGCCTCTCCTCACTTAACGACGTAGTTGGGGGCCTAAGACCCCGTTGGTAAACGATTTCATCGCTAATCGAGGAATCATCCCTTACTTACACTTCAAAAGTGTCACCACCCAAAATTAAAACATTCACTTTTATGTTTACTGGGAAATTCCTTTCAGTGTGTTTATTATTGACTGTAATGCAACATGAAATAGGTCAGAGGCTTACTTCCGAGATATTCCAGGAAACGTGTGCATAGCTGATTGCTTGAGATTTTTTTTTTTTTTGAGAAAATTGCACTTTTTTCAGTCTTTGCAAAGGGTAAGAGTGATTTTCTATAGCTACCCTTCAGGTGCGTAACGTTTTCCACTGTGGTTATGGTCACTTTTTTTTTTTTCTTTTATCCCTCCTGGCCCTCCACCCTTCAGTACCTCTCTATACAATGTCATATTTTATTAATTTGAGCATCTTTATCATGCTTCTACATTATTTATGTTATATGGTACCTAATAACCTTTATTGATAGTAATATTATAATTATACAATATTTTATAGTGCTGTGAGCTTACACGTCTGTACATCATGGTGAAGCATGAGTTACTGAGAGACATTGCTGGCGCCTTCTCCCTCTCTCTTGTATAGCCCCACACACCCTCCAGTACCTCTCCATATATGTCAGTTTTTATTAATTTGGGCATCTTTATCATGCTTCCGCTGCCTAGTTATTATGGCTGGAAATCCTGTCGATGCTTTCACTTCCTCTTTCACTCTATCTTTATCATTCAAGATTGTGGGAATTGTAGAATGTGCCAGCTTCAAGTCATCGGCTATCCCTTGCACTTTGTAACCAGCTTCATACTCGTTTATAATCTTCATTTTTACCTCAAGATCAAGAGCCTTCCTTTGTTTCTTGACGCTTCCTTGAGGTGAAGTCAAGATCTTCCTTTTCTCCGACATCTTGTACTATGGGATGCACAATAAAGTGCAAATTTGTACAAATATGTAGTCTTGGAGACAGTGAAAGCTAGTGTGCTCAGTGGCTGTAGAAAGCAGACTGAGATACTTGTCGCTGAGATGCCGTGCTGCTGTTTCCATGACCCAAGTTCTCATATGGCATAAAATCCTAATAAAATCCTGCCTCGGTGGGAGACGGCCGACTTGTTGAAAAAAAAAAAAAATAATAAAATACTAATAATAATAATATAATAATAATAATCATGAAAATAATAATCGTTCTGGAGTGGTTTAACCATTAAACTGTCCAAATGTAGATCTATGTTCACATGCGTAGCGCTCCGAACGTAGATCAACGTTTTATTTTTCATTCAAAATTGGCATGATTGGCCTGAGATGCCTGGTCAGTATAGAATGGATCTTAACACTCGGTGTGCACATTATTAGAAAAATCTGGGACCACTTAGTACCTTGTGGGAGCACCAGGTCAATTGAGCGCCAGCTAGAGCAAATAGTGTGGCAAACACCAGGGATTCACTGATGTCATGTCATATTAACACTCCTCTTTTTAAGAGGAAAGTGATGTTGACCTAGAGTTAAGTGGCTTTGAGATGGATGTGGCCACAAGTGGTCGAGGAAATATCAAAAACCTCGATAATAACCCAGGTGCAATATTTGTGCAACATCCTTTCATTTCTGATACCACTGGTAGTGCCATCCTGCCAGAATGTCATACGTATTCAGCAGGCTGGCCAGCTGGCTGGCTAGCTGGCTGACTGACTTTGGCTGTGTCTCTGTCTGTATCTGTCTATATCTCTGTCTCTGTCTCTCACAGGTGCACATAAGTACAGTTATTACATAGTGTAAATTACCTAGGATAACCCAAAAATTCCAGGCAAAGTGCTATACAGTGCTTGAAGATTTTTTTTTTTTTCCAACAAGTCGGCCGTCTCCCACCGAGGCAGGGTGACCAAAAAGAAAGAAAATCCCCAAAAGAAGATACTTTCAACATCATTCAATACTTTCACCTCACTCACACATAATCACTGTTTTTGCAGAGGTGCTCAGAACACAACAGCTTAGAAGCATGTACGTATAAAGATACACAACATATCCCTCCAAACTGCTAATATCCGAAACCCTCCTTCAGAATGCAGGCATTGTACTTCCCATTTCACAGGACTCAAGTCCTGCTATATAAAAATAACTGGTTTCCCTGATTCCCTTCACTAAATATTACCTTGCTCACACTCCAACAGATCGCCAGGTCCCAAATACCATTCGTCTCCATTTACTCCTATCGAACACGCTCATGCACTCCTGCTGGAAGTCCAAGCCCCTCGCCCATAAAACCTCTCTTACCCCTTCCTTCCAACCTTTTCGAGGACAACCCCTACCCCGTCTTCCTTCTCCTACCGATTTAAATGCTCTCCATGTTATTCTACTTTGATTCATTCTCTCTAAATGACCAAACCACCTCAACAACCCCTCTTCTGCCCTCTCACTAATACTTTTATTAACTCCACACCTTCTCCTAATTTCCACACTCCGAATTTTCTGCATAATATTTACACCAAACATTGCCCTTAGACAGGACATCTCCACTGCCTCCAACCGTCTCCTCGCTGTTGCATTCTCAACCCAAGCTTCACACCCATATAAGAGTGTTGGTACTACTATACTTTCATACATTCCCTTCTTTGCCTCCATAGATAACGTTTTTTGACTCCACATATACCTCAATGCACCATCACTTTTTTCCCTCATCAATTCTATGATTAACCTTATCCTTCATAAATCCATCCGCCGACACGTCAACTCCAAGTATCTGAAAACATTCACTTCTTCCATACTCTCCTTCCCAATTTGATATCCAATTTTTCTTTATCTAAATCATTGATACCCTCATCACCTTACTCTTTTCTATGTTCACTTTCAACTTTCTACCTTTACACACACTCCCAAACTCATCCACTAACCTTTGCAATTTTTTCTTTAGAATCTCCCATAAGCACAGTATCATCAGCAAAAAGTAACTGTGTCAATTCCATCTTGTATTTGATTCCCATAATTTAATCTCACCCCTCTCCCGAACACCCTAGCATTTACTTCTTTTACAACCCCATCTATAAAATATATTAAACAACCATGGTGACATTACACATCCCTGTCTAAGACCTACTTTTACTGGGAAGTAGTCTCCCTCTCTTCTTCACACCCTAACCTGAGCCTCACTATCCTCATAAAAAACTCTTTACGGCATTTAATAACTTACACCTATTTCATATACTTGCAACATCTGCCACATTGCTCCCTATCCATTCTATCATTATGCCTTTTCTAAATCCATAAATGCAATAAAAACTTCCCTACCCTTATCTAAATACTGTTCACATATATGCTTCAATGTAAACACTTGATCTACACATCCCCTACCCACTCTGAAACCTCTTGAAGATATAAGGCATAATAAGCATGACGCAGTAATACGCATTTTCACTTGCTCAGGAATCAGGGAGTGGCTCGTAAACCAACAGGTTTACGAGCCGCTCCCTGAGACAGAGAGACAAGCAGATGGACACACACAGGCAAACAGAAAGATAAGCAGAGCTAGACAGATAGACAGACAGACCGACAGACATGTTTGTGTGTTACAGTGAAAACAAATAAAGTCAGGGTTCTCTACAGCAGTGCAGGGAAAACTGCAGTTTACTGACACTCGTCATAAACGCTATGCTTCAAGAAGTTTCATATATACTCCAGCATGTCTAAAACATTGTTGAGACCTATAAATACTTTGTATATAATTTGTAGACAATAGTAAATGACCAAGACAAGTGAAAATGTTCACCTATCGTTGTGATTGTGACTATTTGAATACTACAGTGGAACCTCTACTTGCGAGCACATCCACGTGCAAGTTTTTCCAAATACAGTGGACCCCTGCCTTACGATGGCATCGCGTTACGTTAAATCCACCATACGGTACATTTTAACGCAAAAATTTTGCTCACTCATTGCTATAAAACTCGCCTTCCGTGATTCTTCTGGGACGCGTCCCACGTGTTGGCCTCAGCACCAGTGTTTTACAAGTCAGCCAGTGAGGTCGCATCATGCATACATTCGGTACATTTCACCTTATCCCAGTGTTTTTTGTGCTTGTAACTACAAAATAAGTTACCATGGGCTCCAAGAAAGCGTCTAGTGCCAACCCTGTGGTAAAAAGGGTGAGAATTAGTATGGAAATTAACCCTTTCAGGGTTTCGGCCGTACTAGTATGGTTTATGTCCCAGGGTTTTTGATGTACTAGTACACCTAAATTCTAGCGCCCTCAAATCTAGTGAGAGAAAGCTGGTAGGCCTACATATGAAAGAATGGGTCTATGTGGTCAGTGTGCGCAGTATAAAAAAAATCCTGCAGCACACAGTGCAGTGCGTAATGAGGAAAAAAAACTTTGTCTGTGTTTTTGGATTAAAACAGCGAATTTGCACTGTATTTTCGTATGGTATTTATTGTTGTATTCTAGTTTTCCTGGTCTCATTGTATAGAATGGAAGACATATTACAGAAATTGGGAGGATGTTGACTGGTTTTACAATGAAAAGTACCTTGAAATTGAGCTCAAAGTAGCAGAAATGTTCAATTTTTACCAAAGTTCAAAAGTAAACAAATCATGCCAAGCATCCAATACACATCAACTGGTGAGTCTAATATTCTTTCACAAGTGCACTGATATTATTTATACCATTTCTACACTAATGTAGTAGTCTGCATAACAGTAAATCTTCTATTTTTTGTAAGAATAAAAATTCAAAGTGGAAAGCCAAAGAAATATAAGAGGGGCCTGGGGATATGATTTAACGAACAGAGAACTTGTCATTTTAGTGCCAGGAATGTCTTTCTTGTTTATTCTGGAACTATTCGGAAATTGCCATCTTTTGAAATTTGTGTGAAATTGGCAAAATTGCTAAATTCTGACCATTT